CGGGGCTTTTACGTTTTGGTATTACAAACGTGAAATTACAAACAAAAAATACACATTCTGAGACATGAACTGAAATGAATTGGGAATTTTATTAACATTAAATCGTCCTCCTCCCATTTTCACCTTAAAATTATGGGGAGGCTGTGCCTCCCCTGCCTCCCCCCAACGAGCCGCCACTGCAAACGTTCAGTTAAAAAACGGGAAAATAATATTAAATAACAAAAATGTTTGACACAATGTTGCCACTTACTTTATGTCTTTTTGCTTCACCAATGAAAATAGTTTCAAAAGGAGCCTCGGATGAATTTAGCCGTTGTATCTCCGAATAAACATGCAGGCGTTTTCTGAACGAATCAGTGTTTCGAAAGAATCGGTTATTGGTTAAAGTAAGTGATTCAATGAATCATCTATAAAGACAGTCTCTTGAGGCCACCTGCTGGATGTAACCTGCAGAAAGAGTCCAAATGTAAAATCCCTCACGATAATGTATCAAATAATGAATATGTTGTGTATATGTAATAAATATAGCCTAAATATTGTAATTTGAAAAAAATGTCTTTCCCCCAATGACATCTGCATTTGATCCATTTCTGCTGAACTGGAAAACTGTGGCATGAGGTTTGAGCATTGGTCAAAGCATTTCTCTCTCACCTCTTTATATTTACCACCACAGTCTCTGTCTTGACCTCACCAGTGTCACAGTGCACATAGATCTGTTCTTTCTTTGGCAGCTATGTCTGTGTCTGCCTTTTTCTATTGCTAGACTGTGATCGAACAGTGTAGAAAAATTTAGGCAGAATGTATTTTCTGTTTAGGGCCAGAAAACATTCCAGTTTATTTTGGTTTTTACGTTCATTTTCCCACTGGTCCAAATAGCCTATGAATAATTTGTTCATTCTGATATGGTTTATTCCAATATGGCTCTTGGATTTTAAAAGCTACATGTTTTAGGGGGATTTTGAATGATTGAGTTCATAATTTGAGGGATTACTCTTACATATAAAGATTCTTTATTGACATCTATGGTTCATCCATGGAAACTTTCCATTCCACAATAGGTTCTTTATAGTGGGATAAAAAGGTTCTTTAGATTTTTAAAATGTTCTTCACAATAAGAAAAAAAATAATTATTTTAAGAACTGTTCATTGAAAGTTTCTTTGGGGAACCAAAAATAATTATTCTGTGGCATCGCTGTGAAAACCATGCAGCGGTAGTCAAAATAAAGATATTTATTATTTTGGTAAACAGAGGTCTTCGTTACATTTAAATGTGATACATATACACACATATACACATTTCAACACCGGACATTATGCAATGTAATCTGCAATATATTCATATACATTCAGAAAGGCTTTCCGTAATAGTTGTTATTGATGATACTGTATCTCGCCCTCTGGTTTATTTCTGTCCCAGCCTCTCCAGGGCTTTATGTAAGATCTTCAGGTCATCCCTCATCTGCGCTAAAGCATTCTGGATCTTAGAAGGCTCATCCAAAACCTCCATGCTGCAAGTGTAGGGATCATATCTAATGGAGAAGGGCTTCTGTATTGTGGATGAATACTGCCTGTGGAACAACAGCAATTGCAGTCACTAATGATGCTTTCTGATCATTTGTACAACCTCAGTGAAAAGGTTTTCTACAGATTGTCTGAGAAAACACCTACCTTAGCTTGTGTTTGGCATCCTCAAAACTTTCGGACACAAAGTAAACAGGCTGAAATGACTGGTCCTGGTACGGTTGGACCGCAGTCTCAGCTGGATTGAATGGTTTGTATTGGGGCTCATTAGAAAGGGCGTACTTGAAAAAAAAAGATACAATCCAATTAATTTCAAATAAATGCAGTTATTTGTTTCTATTCATCACAGAATTCTAAAAATCATGGTTTCCTCAAAAATATTAAGTATAGCACAACTGTTTTCAACATTGATAATAATAAGAAATGTTTCATGAGCTCCAGTTTTTTTTCTTACCAAAAGTTCTCCATATGAGGACAGTAGTCCAGCCCCATAGGCCTTCACTGTTCCATTTTGCTTACAGAGACCAAACTCCACTGTAAACCAGTATAGCTGTTTGTGAAATTTAGAGATGTTTTGTTAGGCTACACATATAGAATGACAGAATTTATATATAATTTAACCATTTGTAAATAGCCATTTTACCATTTGTTTTGATTTTGTAATATGAATGAAAGAACACAAGGAGGCACTAAAGACTTGCTTTAATGCATTAAGCTTCAGTGACGTATTCTCCAGCTGAATATTTCCATTAGGATGTACTCACTGTGGACAGTTTCTCAATATCTTCATCTGATGCTCCAAGCGAGGCAAGTCCAATCTCCTGCAGTGTAAAATGTTCAGTGTCAAATGCAAAGTGTCTCAGTATTTCACTACATGGAAAAACATTGATTGACCATTTAAATAAGATCTATCTGTATTAAAATAGCATGCATTTTGAATGGTAGTTTCCCACTTTAACCGTTAATTTCAAGCTGATTATGTGGCATAAAAACATACCTGTGAAAACTGAGCAAATTCTTTGTCTGCAAGCATGGGAATATGCCCAAGTAGCTCATGGCAGCAGTCACTTTTTAAAGTAAAATACAGTCAAAATATTAATATTGTGCAATAAAAGGTTGCCAAATCCAAATAAAATTCTGTTTTGTGTCTTTATACGTACGGTTCAGGGGAATGCATGGGAGCTGAAGGGTGACGAATGTACTGGGTACACTGGAACACCCGGAACGCTAGACTGGCTAGGAAGTCCCGAGCAGAAAGCAGCCCTGCCACTGGCCGTAACTGAAAACCTGTCCTCTCTGATCAAGAGCACACACAGGCACAGAACATAGTTAAAGTCAGTGTAAATTTGCACATTTTGCACACACAGTGCAAAACACAGACCTGTTTACCTTTAAGAAATGCAGACACGTCTCCTAGCTGAGGGATCTTGTCCTCTCCATACAAACATTCACTCTCCAGCTGACCGAGGGCTTCTAGAAACTGTCTGCAGGCGTGAGTGGGGTACAGACCGTTTAGAGTCCTGTAGACCTCCCTCCTGCCTCATCACAAAAAGAGCTCTTAGAATCATGCGGCCGCACTAGTCTTCTCTAAACATTTGATATGCAAATACTGACATTTAGTTGACAGCAATCAAACTCAATAAAATAACTGGGAAAACCTACCAAGTGGCAATCTCTTCTGGAGTGTATTCCACTACAAGTAAAGGGTCACCACTACAATGACAAAAGAAAGATAATTTTTTGCCTAAAATATATTTTCTATAGAAAAAAAATCTCTGATTAGATAGCATAATGCATATTTTACAACAACAACAATAATAATTGTTGTTGTTGTTGTTTGAGATTAATTAATATCATGTGACTTACTGCTTATAGTTGAAAGCCAGTTCAGAAATGATTCCTCTTCGTTTTCTGTATTCTGGATCACTGAATCCCTAAATAATACTAACGTTCATGTCACTGATGTAACAAATGATCTGAATAATGCAAGTAGAACTAAGATTATAAAATTTTGAATGTAAATAATGTCCTGTTTTAAGAAAAGCATCACCGTTTTTCACTTACAGGGTGATCCTGGTCCAGATCAGGGTCATATTTTGTTATCAGATGATTGCATTTATCTAGGTCAGAAATCTTCTTTGGAAACCAAGGAACTGTGTGTTAAAATAAAATGAAAGGAACATTATAAAATAGTTGAAAAGAAATGTCTACTGTATATGCAATATGGAACAGATAAATCACCTACTGTTTTCTTCTTGCACTATTCTCACATCATCTGCAACTCGTTTTAAGGAGTTGATGAAGATGTCAGTGTCGGAGCAGTGCACTTCACACCTCATGAAGAACTCCAGATCATCTCCACCGCTTTTCTTAGACTTCCTGCTTGGTCGACTCTCTAAATGGAGGAGTTTGGCTTCAAAAGTCTAAGTAGCAAAACCAGACAAACATTTTTATTATGTTTTCATCACAAAACATTATTTATGGCACCTGCAATGAAAAAGACATGAACATAATGCATATAGAGCCGCCAAATTTGACACAACTAAAACAGCAGCACATGGTCTGTTATGTTTTTAGTGTTGTTGTTAGCCTGTTTTATGTGTTTGTTTCCAGATTTATTTGCAAAAATATGTTGTTTTTGTTTGCTATTTTGAAATAAATTTAGGACGGGTTGGTAATGGGAGATAATTATTCTGTGCAAATATATTTGGTTACCGCAATAAATTCATGCACAGATTTAAATTGCCCATTTTTCTGTTGGTGTCACATTTGTAACAACAGCTCTCATTGTAGTTGACATTAATTAACACAGTTTAGGTAATATCATTTTGAATACCTTAATTTGCAGCAAAATAAATATAGTAAGGTACTCTGGGAAAAAATGGTATAGAAATAAGTTTCACTCAGTCAGAAATTGCTAGTAAATTTCCCAAACAATTACAAAGATAAAAGGCATAGGTTAATTAAAGGCTGAATTACAGTTTTTCTCGATTGCTAAAACACAATTTCTGAAACCTTGCTCCATTTTCTGAAAACATTAAACACAAAACCTCATCTTCAAGCACTATTTAAAAAAACCTCTGACTCCTCTCGCAAAATGAAACTTTCGCCTCAAAACAGTTTTACCTGTGTTCAAAATCAAACACTGCTCTCAAATCATAAACAAAGTGATCAAAATGATATACACTATCAAGCAGTCAGTAAACAATACACCAAAAAATAGAAAACACATTGTTCAAAACATATAGTTCTCAGGGAGAAGTAAATTTTTAATCTCAAAACAAATGTAATATTTTTCCATCATTGTCTTTTGATGAACGAAAACGTTCTATCATAGTAGCTCAAAATTGATCAGAAATTACTACTCTGCTTTGCTCTTTGCAATTTTTTTTGTTCTTCCTCCTCCTCTTCCTCTTTCTTGCCCTCCTCCTCCTCTTCCTCTTTCTTGCTCTCCTCCTCCTCTTCCTCCTCGTCGCCCACCTCGCATACGCACTCGTCCTCGTCCTCTCACATTGTTTCTTCTATCCATTCTCAGACTTTCTCCTTCCCACCTTCAACAACCTGTTTGCTCTCTGAACTGGCTTATATTGGTTGTGTCACATCATTTGAAACAGGTTAAATCAATTTTGAGTGGTTGTGTTCTATCAATGACATGTGTTCTCTATTTGTATTTGATTGTTGCCACTTGTGTTTTACCAGTATGGATGACATGTGCATTAGAGTGCAGAATGTGTTTTGAGAATGAGAATGTGTTTAGAGTTTTGCTGAAAAGTCTAAGTGAGATCTGCAAATTGTGTTTTACCATGTGAAATGGTGTAAGGTATTGACAACAGACTGCACAATTAGCTAAATGAGCCGCTCTTCTCCTCCTCAAACACGAAGCTGTCCCCGCAGCGCGAGGGCCCCGGAGAAGACGAGCCGCTCTCTCTGTCGCGCCGTGCGTCCTCGATCAGACTGCGCTTTCTGCCGCTCAGCGGAATAGTCTGCACTACACTGTCCGTCTTCATTGATTCTTAGGGGAAAAATAGGTCACTATATCTAAAATAAATATATCCAATTAATCTTTGAGTCCACACCAAATAAGGAGTCCAACTCTGTCTAAATGAGGAGAAAACTCTTTTGTTCACCGTGGGGCCAAAGCCCTGCAATTTATATGCAGACGTGCTGGACTTTATGTAAATGTGTTGCTTAAATGCAAGTCTAATTTTAAGCTGAGATGCGTCATGAGTTTGTGTTTTTCTTTTCCAGGCACCAAATAAGAGCCGTGACACGTGACATTTCACAGGCGCTTCACAGCCAAAAGTGACAAGTTACATAAGCTAAATGCTAGTTTTTGTGAAAGGTCAGCACTAAATGAGTCTTTATTGGAAATATATAAATAAATAATAAGTATCCTTTGTTTTTAGGGGCGTAAATGATACAAAAAATACGGCATTGAGATTGTGCTGCTCTCCATGGTACTGAAACCGACTTCTGCACGCATGCTGTTCACTTGTAAATGCAATAAATAATAACAACAACAATAATAAATTAATATACTTTAATTATATATTTATTATATTATTATTATTATTATAGAAATAAAAATGGCAACTTTAAAAAATATAATAATAGTAGTTTTAATAATAACAATCTTTATTGATTTTTTTGAAGTACATGTGACAATGCATGCATAACATCTCAGTCTTCAGTACACTAACAGATAAATGATATATGCAGTAGGCTATGTTAAATTGCATTCACAGTCAAGCAAAACTTATAACTACAAATATCTTTCGTTACGTTTACGTATTTCAATAATTAAGTGTGTAATGCAGTGTAATGTAATGCAGCATATGAACGCATGTTTTAAACAAAAGCAATTTAATCATGAAAATAATTCGTCTCCCAAATGCATTGGCTCAACACATGGTTTCAACACGCCTTTGATCCCGTGATTCATTGATTGCGGCTTGTTTGGGGAAATTACAGCAACATTGTGCGACAACAAGTAGCAACAGCTGAAGCAAATGGTGGACGGTAGGCAATCTGTATTTTTGTACGATTAAACTACTGAGAAAAATACAACATATAATATATAAAATAACAAATATTGCGGCAGCGGGCCTCATAATGCCCGAAGCTTTTTGTTATTTACGTGCGATTTGTTTTGCATAGGTATTTTTTCCGTGTTATTTCGTTATATGTAATTTAAATACGTAGTGACTAAATATATTTGAACTAGCAACATTTGTTTATAAATATGTTCTACATGCAATACATAAGGACTAATTGAATATTTAATATCATGCTCTCTCTATCACAGCTTGATCAGAAAAAGTATGTTGTATATGAGCCTAAAAAGCAATACAGACGATGCTTATTTAGCGTCTTTGATTTTCCAGCATTTATTCTTAATTTTCCTTAAAAATCTTCCACCATCGTTTCACTCCATCTTTCGCAGGGCAGTGCACAGGATTGAGATCTCACCTAGGAAGAAAAAAAACATACATTTGTGATCGATATGGGATTAAATTAAAACGTACACATAATAATATCTGCAGGTCGACAAAACGACAAAAAATGTGCAATTCATAAAACGGCTTGTTTAGTCACTAATCATAAGATACATTGATAATGCACTGTATTAAAAAAATGGTCAAATTGAAACCTCAGGGAGTTACTATACATTTTCCAACTCAGTAAAGTTAAAAACTAAAATTTAATTGCTGTAAAAAGTAAAACCACGACCTGAATTTCATCATGGGTGAAGAAAATTGAGTTAAAACTCTGAACTCTGAATTTCATTATAAAATAAAAATGAGTAGAAATTACTACAAGCTAAATGAATGGAAAAAGTATTAAATAATGTATTAAATAATGCTAAAACAGTTTTACAGTGCTGATCTGACCATTAAAAATAATTTGAGTGGGAATGATTTTATTCAATTTGACTTAAAGATAGTAAACAATATTATTTGACTTGTACCATTTCATTTCTTTGTAACCACAAAAAGTACATTTTAGGTGACCTGACTTTTTACAGTGTACTTTTCCAAAATCCTTAAAGGGGTCATATGATGCGATTTCAAGTTTTCCTTTCTCCTCAAATGCTCCTTCCTGTTGTCTTTACTTTCAGTAGAGAATTCTCCTGATTTTTGTTCTGAAAATCCTGATTTTTCATTCTTAATTCTTGTATAATAGGGGAAATTCAGTTTAAGTGCTACATTGTACTGAAGACACACCGCTGATGTTGTCGGCCAGGTTCTTCAGCTGCTGTGTGTTGTCCAGCATCTCGATTCTCTGTGTGTAGGCATTATAGCGCACAGAGAAAGGTCTGGGAATGGTGGAAGCAAATTTCCTGTAAAAACAAAATGAAAAAGAATATATAACTGGAAAAATGCTGAGGGAAGGGCCGATTTAAGAGATGGTTTAATTGCAGTCACTTTACCTGACTTTTTCTTTGGCGTCCTCGAAACTTTCAGCCACAAAGTAAACTGGCTGGAACTCTGTAATGGGATACTGCTGCAGGCAGGTCTTCTCTGGCTCGAAGGGCAGAAGTTTAGGCTTGTCCGTCAAACAGTACTGCAAGACATTAGAATAACATCTCATTTTCAGTCTGTTCTCCACTTCAGCCATGCTTTTGTGCATCAGTGACATGCTTCTGCTTTTCACTCCACTAATGACACAATAAACTCAATTGGGCTGCTAACTCCTTTTCTAAAAGCTCAAAGCAAAAAGCCAGTTTACTTTGTTGGGTTAGAGCACAGGGCATGAATCAGAAGAAAGCATTCTGAGAGGTACCACATACCTGCAGTTCGCCAAAAGATGAGAGCAGACCAGCACCGTAAGCCTTTACTTTATCTCCTTCCTTGCACAGACCAAATTCCACAGTGAACCAGTAGACCTGCAAAAAATAAACATTAGAATCATACAGCCCCTTTGAGAGAGACAAATATATCTTGCGGTCTTATAACATGACTGGCCTCAGTTAAAAGGTGGAAAATGATTCTTATCGTAACCTAAAGCAATACTCACTGTGGCCAGCTTCTCTATGAACTCATCAGGAGCGCCCAAAGAAGCGAGTCCAATTTCCTGGTCAAACAGAAATCAACATTTGGATATTACATCGCTGATAAATGCACATTAGATATGAAGTCTGAAGCAGATATTCTCTAGAAACCCACATAAGCATACTATGGAAGCTTATTTCTGAAATTCTGTTTTTTTTTTTGTAA